TTGTATTTGTTTTAAACACTTGAATTTTTAAGCAAAGTTTCAATCCATTTGTATAAACCCTCGAAAAAAAAAGTTACAAAATTGATTTTGACTAGGGTCGCCCCTAGTCCAAAATTGAAAATGTATTTCCTACTTGGTTCTTTGCTCAAAAAAATTTTAGGATGTTTTATTTGTATTTGTTTTAAGCACTAGAATTTTTATGCAAAGTTTCAATCCATTTGGATAAAGCCTCGAAGAAATAAGTGATTTTGGTCGACCCTAGTCCAAAATTGAAAATGTATTTCCTACTTGGCTCTTTTCTCAAAAAAATTTTAAGATGTTTTATTTGTATTTGTTTTAAGCACTAGAATATTTATGCAAAGTTTCAATCCATTTGGATAAACCTTCGAAGAAAAAAGTGACAAAATTGATTTTGACTAGGGTCGCCCCTGGTCCAAAATTGAAAATGTATTTCCTACTTGGTTCTTTTCTCAAAAAAATTTTATGATGTTTTATTTGTATTTGTTTTAAGCACTAGAATTTTTATGCAAAGTTTCAATTCATTTGGATAAAGCCTCGAAGAAAAAAGTGACAAAATTGATTTTGACTAGGGTCGCCCCTAGTCCAAAATTGAAAATGTATTTCCTACTTGGTTCTTTGCTCAAAAAATTTTTAGGATTTTTTATTTGTATTGTTTTTAAGCACCAAAATGTTTATGCAAAGTTTCAATCCATTTGGATAAATCATCAAAGAAAAAAGTGACAAAATTGATTTTGACTAGGGTCGCCCCTAGTCCAAAATTGAAAATGTATTTCCTTCTTGGTTCTTTGCTCAAAAAAATTTTAAGATATTTTATTTGTATTTGTTTTAAACACTTGAATTTTTAAGCAAAGTTTCAATCCATTTGTATAAACCCTCGAAGAAAAAAGTTACAAAATTGATTTTTACTAGGGTCGCCCCTAGTCCAAAATTGAAAATGTATTTCCTACTTGGTTCTTTGCTCAAAAAAATTTTAGGATGTTTTATTTGTATTTGTTTTAAGCACTAAAATATTTATGCAAAGTTTCAATTCATTTGTATAAACCCTCGAAGAAAAATGTGATTTTGGTCGACCCTAGTCCAAAATTGAAAATGTATTTCCTTCTTGGTTCTTTGCTCAAAATAATTTTAGGATTTTTTATTTGTATTTGTTTTAAGCACCAAAATGTTTATGCAAAGTTTCAATCCATTTGGATAAATCATCAAAGAAAAAAGTGAGAAAATTGATTTTGACTAGGGTCGCCCCTAGTCCAAAATTGAAATTGTATTTCCTACTTGGTTCTTTGCTCAAAAAAATTTTAAGATGTTTTATTTGTATTTGTTTTAAGCATAAAAATATTTATGCAAAGTTTTAATCCATTTGGATAAACCTTCAAAAAAAAAAATGAAAAACTAGATTTTGACTAGACCTGCCCCTACTCAAAAAGTGAAAATGTATTTCCTACTTGGTTCTTTGCTCAAAAAAATTTTAGGATGTTTTATTTGTATTTTTTTTAAACACCTGAATATTTATGCAAAGTTTCAATTCATTTGGATAAACCCTCGAAGAAAAAAGTGACAAAATTGATTTTGACTAGGGTCGCCCCTAGTCTAAAATTAAAAATGTATTTCCTACTTGGTTCTTTGCTCAAAAAATTTTAGGATATTTTATTTGTATTTGTTTTAAGCATTAAAATATTTGTGCAAAGTTTCAATCCATTTGTATAAACCCTCGAAGAAAAAAGTGACAAAATTGATTTTGACTAGACCTGCCCCTACTCAAAAAGTGAAAATGTATTTCCTACTTGGTTCTTTGCTCAAAAAAATTTTAAGATGTTTTATTTGTATTGTTTTTAAACACCTGAATATTTATGCAAAGTTTCAATCCATTTGGATAAACCCTCGAAGAAAAAAGTGACAAAATTGATTTTGACTAGGGTCGCCCCTAGTCTAAAATTAAAAATGTATTTCCTACTTGGTTCTTTGCTCAAAAAATTTTAAGATATTTTATTTGTATTTGTTTTAAGCATTAAAATATTTATGCAAAGTTTCAATCCATTTGTATAAACCCTCGAAGAAAAAAGTGACAAAATTGATTTTGACTAGGGTCGCACCGAGTCTAAAATTAAAAATGTATTTCCTTCTTGGTTCTTTGCTCAAAAAAGTTTTAGGATGTTTTATTTGTATTTGTTTTAAGCATTAGAATATTTATGCAAAGTTTCAATCCATTTGTATAAACCCTCGAAGAAAAAAGTGACAAAATTGATTTTGACTAGGGTCGCCCCTAGTCCAAAATTGAAACTGTATTTCCTACTTGGTTCTTTGCTCAAAAAAATTTTAGGATGTTTTATTTGTATTTGTTTTAAGCATTAAAATATTTATGCAAAGTTTCAATCCAGTCCAAAATTGAAAATGTATTTCCTTCTTGGTTCTTTGCTCAAAATAATTTTAGGATGTTTTATTTGTTTTTGTTTTAAGCACTAAAATATTTATGCAAAGTTTCAATTCATTTGTATAAACCCTTGAAGAAAAAAGTGATTTTGGTCGACCCTAGTCCAAAATTGAAAATGTATTTCCTTCTTGGTTCTTTGCTCAAAATAATTTTAGGATTTTTTATTTGTATTTGTTTTAAGCACCAAAATGTTTATGCAAAGTTTCAATCCATTTGGATAAATCATCAAAGAAAAAAGTGAGAAAATTGATTTTGACTAGGGTCGCCCCTAGTCCAAAATTGAAAATGTATTTCCTACTTGGTTCTTTGCTCAAAAAAATTTTAGGATGTTTTATTTGTATTTGTTTTAAACACAGTAAAATATTTATGCATAGCTACAATCCATTTGTATAAACCCTCGAAGAAAAAAGTGACAAAATTGATTTTGACTAGGGTCGCTCCTAGTCCAAAATTGAAATTGTATTTCCTACTTGGTTCTTTGCTCAAAAAAATTTTAAGATGTTTTATTTGTTTTTGTTTTAAGCATAAAAATATTTATGCAAAGTTTCAATCCATTTGGATAAACCATCAAAGAAAAAAGTGAGAAAATTGATTTTGACTAGGGTCGCCCCTAGTCCAAAATTGAAACTGTATTTCCTACTTGGTTCTTTGCTCAAAAAAATTTTAGGATGTTTTATTTGTATTTGTTTTAAGGACTAGAATTTTCATGCAAAGTTTCAATCCATTTGGATAAAGCCTCGAAGAAATAAGTGATTTTGGTCGCCCCTAGTCCAAAATTGAAAATGTATTTCCTACTTGGTTCTTTGCTCAAAAAATTTTTAGGATCATTTATTTGTATTTGTTTTAAACACTAAAATATTTATGCATAGTTACAATCAGTTTGTATAAACCCTCGAAGAAAAAAGTGACAAAATTGATTTTGACTAGGGTCGCCCCTAGTCCAAAATTGAAAATGTATTTTCTACTTAGTTCTTTGCTCAAAAAATTTTTAGAATGTTTTATTTATATTTGTTTTAAGCACCAAAATGTTTATGCAAAGTTTCAATCCATTTGGATAAATCATCAAAGAAAAAAGTGAGAAAATTGATTTTGACTAGGGTCGCCCCTGGTCCAAAATTGAAAATGTATTTCCTACTTGGTTCTTTGCTCAAAAAATTTTAGGATGTTTTATTTGTATTTGTTTTAAACACTTGAATTTTTATGCAAAGTTTCAATCCATTTGGATAAAGCCTCGAAGAAAAAAGTGATTTTTGTCGACCCTAGTCCAAAATTGAAAATGTATTTCCTTCTTGGTTCTTTGCTCAAAAAAATTTTAGGATGTTTTATTTGTATTTGTTTTAAACACTTGAATTTTTAAGCAAAGTTTCAATCCATTTGGATAAACCTTCGAAGAAAAAAGTTACAAAATTGATTTTGACTAGGGTCGCCCCTAGTCCAAAATTGAAAATGTATTTCCTACTTGGTTCTTTGCTCAAAAAAATTTTAAGATGTTTTATTTGTATTTGTTTTAAGCACTAGAATTTTTATGCAAAGTTTCAATCCATTTGGATAAAGCCTCGAAGAAATAAGTGATTTTGGTCGACCCTAGTCCAAAATTGAAAATGTATTTCCTACTTGGCTCTTTTCTCAAAAAAATTTTAGGATGTTTCATTTGTATTTGTTTTAAGCACTAGAATATTTATGCAAAGTTTCAATCCATTTGTATAAACCCTCGAAGAAAAAAGTTACAAAATTGATTTTGACTAGGGTCGCCCCTAGTCCAAAATTGAAAATGTATTTCCTTCTTGGTTCTTTGCTCAAAAAAATTTTAGGATGTTTTATTTGTATTTGTTTTAAACACTTGAATTTTTAAGCAAAGTTTCAATCCATTTGTATAAACCCTCGAAGAAAAAAGTTACAAAATTGATTTTTACTAGGGTCGCCCCTAGTCCAAAATTTAAAATTGATTTTCTATGGTGTACTTTGGTCAAAAAATTTTTTGGATGTTTTATTTGAATTGACATAATTCTGACATAAATCACATACCAATATTACTTTTTGTAATGCATAGCTTAAAAAAAATCGAAATCTAAAATTTCGACTACCCCATCTGAATTTTGTTCATACTCTTCACTGTGAAAACCAAAAAACAAATTCTTTATGTTAAAACACTTGACAAAATAGCGACATAATTCAGGATTAATTACTTTTTAATAATATTTTAACATTTACGAGAAAATGTGGTTCAAATAAGTATGAAGTATGGCCGAGATTTGGACCAAAATCAGCTATACTGGTTCATAGTGTTCCCGAGGGTGACAAAATTCAAACTATGTGTTTTTGTAGCTGACATAATTATGACATAAATTAGGTATAACTTTTGATCTGTGTCGATATGGGACTCGGCCGTGCTTCACGCCCACCCTTCAAACTTATGCTGAGCAAATCTTGGTCTATCCATAAGACTTTTGATGGTACAGTGTGAATATATCCGCATTGGGTTTCTACTCGATACACTAGTTAATTTTAACATTAATTTCCAATCTGATTAATTTGTCAATTGGTTACTTACCTAATAGCAGGTGCTACTACTTGTGGTTGAACATTGGGTGTGGGAGGACTTTGGATTTTTAAAACAAGGATTCATGCCCACAAAGTGTTAAATCATTTCATTCATTGAGGTTTTTGAAAAAGAAAATTTAATAAAATCAAATTAAAAACATTCAATTTAAAAATTTAAATAATGCATAGCACATAAATTAAAATATTGAACATGAATATTTTTTTAATTAAACAACATCATAAATCTTTTCCGAATAACTTTTTTTCGCATTTGTTTATAGTAAGTTATTTCTAGTAATTAAAATTCATTTTTAAAAAATTTCAAAAGATTCTTCATTAATGCTAGAATCAGTTCTTACAAAAAAACGCTTTCAGTTACATGTCATTTCTACAACTTGAATATTTTACTATTAATTTTGTTATTAATTTATGTGTCGTCATGCATCTTTCGGAAAAAAGTCATGATCTGCTTTTCAAAAAACAATGAGTTAGAAAATCGAACTTAAAATGAATTGAAATGTCAAAAATATAAAAATAATTTAAGGTGTTGAGTGCTTGGATTAAAGGATTTATCTTATTTATAACTTACGCAATTTCTGTCATTTTCAAAGATGGTCTAACTGAATGAACTTGTAAAGATCTCAAAGAATGACACATTTCATGATCAGAGTAGAGCTCCTTTAATTCTGGACCGAGTGGGATGATAAATTCGTTTTTACAGGCTTCCCTGAAATTATATCAATCTATATTATGATCCACGAAAAAATCAAAGAATAATTTTTATTCATTTACATTGTAGCAGCGTGCGATTCTAAATGTAATGCAATCAACAAATCGCAAAATCCTAAACGCAATGGGCCGCTCATATATTCAGACTTAATAGCATAAAGCAATTGTTTTTGGTCAACATGTTGACATAAAGAGTGTGCAGCTCTATAATTGCTTTGATAGCAAAGTGCAGCATATAAAGTCAAAGTATGAGAATGGAAAGATAATAGCTTTTCCATTTCAATAAGTTCCAAAATATCAATACATCTATCCTCCTCTGGTATATGTAAAGCTAGCATTGATACTGCATCTTCACATAACATTGACCAACCTCTTAAATCACTCAATTTTAATGCGTGAATTTGAAGAGCAACATTAGGCACACGAGCCCATTGGTGAGGTTTTAAACATTGAACCTTTAAACGAGGTGGAAATTGTGGATTGACATGTTTATCGCTTGTTGGTAAAACAGCAGCTGATAATGGCAGTGTCGTTGGAGTTCTTCCTAATTCAATTTGAAGAATCTCTTTACTTGTGGCTTCAACGAAAATTGCTGGAAACAGTTTTGTTTCTGGTTCCATTTGCCAACGATGAGTTGTTTCTTTTCCCTCACATGTAAAACGAATTATTCCTGTAGCTGTATCAACGAAGCAGCCAACAAACATACCTTGACTAGCTCCTTTACCTTTAAATAAAGTTCGAGATAAGCATTATATGAGAATAAGATTACATTATTTTGAAAATACCAGATGTATCTTGTGAAACTTCATTGAATAATTCATCAGCTCGCACGACATAACAAGCTTCTCGAGTAACACTGTAATAACAATAAAAATTATTAAGTCATAAAATAAATTACGTTTTCTCACCTCTGGATTGTTTGTTCATATTCGTTTTCAAGTAAAACAGCCGCTCTACGTACACTTTCTTGTTTAAAATCATGACTATGTAAATGATATTGTGTTGTAACCCATCCAATATAAACTAGAAGTTATTTAAGTTTAATACGTTATTCTTTAGCTTTAAAAAAATCAATTTACCATGAGTTGGATCTTGTCCGGGATAAATCCTAACTCCATAGAAGTATTCATTAATAAGTTTTAAACAATCACTGTCATAAACTTCGTTTCCAATAGACTCTATATGTTGTGATCCCAACATTTTTTGACGATCTGGAACAGATGGAGCTTGTACTCTCAAATCAGCCTATAAGGAATAAAAATAAATACAGAGGGAAGATTTTTTGAATATTTCAACCTACATTAGAAACTCTTACTGTTGGAGAGCGTGTCATGACATTTGACTGAATAACATTTCTTCCTTGCAATAGACGCTTATCATCCATATCGTGTTTTGCTTTCAATTTATCTTTCGACTGATCACGTTTCTTACCAAACAATCTAAATGGAGACCTACCACGTTTTTTCTTATCATCCTTATCCATTTCACCTTCACTATATTGATTCATATCAAGCTCGCTTGTTGATCTTTGCATTTGACCATTAATTTCTAAAGTTGGAGCATCAAACATTCCATTAGGTCTTCCTGATAATGATCCCTTTCGTGGTGGTCTGGGTGGACGTAGTACTTCATCAGCTTCAACTGCATCTTCATTATAATTTCTTTGAAGTCCTTTAATGTCATTCATTGTGAAACCAGATCTCATAATATGTTCGTAATGAGCTGGAGTTGTATTTTCAACTTCGGCTAATATTCTATGCTGCCTTAAACGAATTTCTTCCCATCGACGGACCTTTTCTTGTTCACTATATAAATAAAATTTGTTAGAGCAACTATAATACCTACGAGATCTAAAACATACTTAATGAAGCCACTCAGACATGTGACTGGTAATGATAAACGTAAGAATTCCCAGTTTGCCTTTTCCATAGTTTCAAATGTATTGTGAGAGATTTTAAGACATGGTGGACTATCAGCACCACCTGGAATTCTTGTAACATCAATTTTACAATCTGCAATCTCTTCAGTGTTTTCGAATATTGGTTGATCTTTCGTATACCAATGAGTCACTGGACGTTTCATATTGCTGTGAATGTTAAAATACGCAAAAATTACGCGATGTTTTGATTTTAAAGGAATTGAAACTTACACGCAGAATGGTTCATAGCCTTCTTGAAGACCACATGTGGTGAAGAATTTAAGTGAATCGACATTTTGACCATATGTTAATCTTGCTTTTTGGCCAACACCTAAAGTGCATGCTGGAACAAAACCAACATTTTCTGCATGGACATCCGCGAAACTTGTTTCACCTCCTAAAGCATCCATCAAAAGTTCTCCATTCAATGAAAAGCCTTTATAATAAAGTTAAGAAAACAAATCTTTAGTCTCATTTCACGATTAATTTTAAAACTCTGTTAGCACAAATGAACCAATAGAATAGATAATTAATAATGCATACTTATAGTGTGATCAACAAGGTCGAGGAACACTCCAACAATATCACCAGGAACCCATTGTTTGCCAAAAGATTCAGCACCTCCAGCGTATATTTTTTCTTCCTGACAAATTAATGAACATTGATTTGACAAAAATTAAGAAACAAATGAATATCATGGATTTAAAGTACAATAGAGGAGAACGGAAAACATAGAGCAATTATTTCTTATGTTATTCTTACTTATGCAGTTTCTATCTGCATCTAAGAAGCATCCTACAATATCTCCAACACAATTTTTTACTCCAAAACATTCAATATGATCACCATGCTTCTTCTTCATCTATTGTAATTTATTGTGGTTGATTTTTTTTGAAAATCTCGTAATAAGATCAAAAAATAAATTCCCTACTCACATTATAGCCATCAAATGCCCATGAACTATCATCACTTCCTAGCATTAATCCTGGAGCTGCGTCAGATCGTGCCCAACCTACTCTCATTGGACCAGCAGTTAAGACTTCAAATTCAAAGTACCATTTTCCTGAAGTAACTGAGTAAGTCTTTTCAACACGATATGTTCTAAATGCAGCATACTTTTGCTTTAGTGCCTCAGCTAATAAGGCTTCATTTGCTTCTCCTGTTGGTGGATCCAAGATGTAACCGTAAACCAATAATGTTTTTACAGTTTCTGATGCTGTGTCACGATTTGCTTTTTTAATTGCATCATCAACTTTTGAATATGGAACTAAATGAGGACTTCTATAATTTTCAGAATCTTCATTCAATCCATATGTCCATGCTTGTTGAATTCTTTCTTTTGCCCACAAATTATGTGTATTTTCTGCTAATTGATCAACAAGCTCCTCGAGTTTTGGAGTTAAAGTAACAGCATTCAAATCAAGTGGTGATGGTTTGTAGCCATTTGCTTGCATATAAGGATCATTTGGCAACCTTATTGGTCTTATACGTGCTGGTGGCTTATCAAGTGTAATGTAATAACCGAGAGCAATAATTGTTTTCAAAGTTTGAACAGCTAATTGACAATCGTATCTCTTTTCTGGTGCTGGAAGTTTATCAAATGGAGTCAAGCAGGGATGAACTCTCATGAAATCATCCCGTCGTTCACCCCAAATCCATCCAGCTTCAATTTTATTTAAAGCCCACATTTCGTGAATATTTTCGGCTAATTTATCTTTAATGTTCTCTACGAATGAAGGCAAAGTTACAGCTGTGGTATCAACTGGAGTTGGAACGAATGCTGTGTCATCCTCCACAAGCCATGGACCAGCCAATACATTTTTATTCAAGTTTCCAAAATAGAAGCAAGGATCTAAAGATAATATTTGATGTGGCATTAAACACTGTACTAATGGAGAATATCCAATTGGAGGTGCATATTTCAACTTTCCGTGGTCACCTCCAAATAAGAAACGACAGCTTACTTTTGATGAACAACTAATAACTGGGAAAAACATTCCGTCCAAGTTAAAGTCACGGAAGCATCCAGTTACTTTGAGACCGTTGTAAGTGAAAGTTATGATTGGAACGCTTAAATCAAGAGAACATCCAATGACGTCTCCTTTCTTGATATTAAATTCTGATAGCGATTCAGGAACTATTTGTGTTTTTCTTCCAGCTGTCCAGAAATTTACACCATCAAATCCATAACTGTATAAATCATCTCCTACACCATTTCCTCCCCATTTTTCACCACCTCCTGGATAAGTCACATATCCCATTGAATTAGCCCAGCCAATTCTCAAGTGTGGGATCATATGTGTAATTTGTTCAATATGGTCAGTTACAACTTCGAAATACCATTTCTGATAAAAGCTTGATCCTTCGACTCTTCCTACGAAAATATTTGGTCTAACGCTAGCAACATGATCTACAAGTTGTGTTTGAAGGAGAAGATTTTTTCCGGGTAATAAATAGTCACAAATATTATTTTGAGAACTTCGAACGGCGAATCCATTACCAACACAGAGTGAACATAAAACATCCAAAACTTTTGGATCACGTCCATGTTTCTCAAGCAGTGAAATAATAACTTTGATATGTTCATCTCGCATCATATTCAAAGCTTCTGGCGAATCAATTAAAACACAATGTAATACATCTAACATGCCAGAACCTTCACTTGATGCTTGTGAACCCAATCGAGAAAAGAGCCAATTTAAACGATTTGAGTTGGCAAATTGAGCACAATTAGTATGATTTCCTTTTATAATCGCAGCCAATAATTGATACAAGTATGCTGAAATCATATCCCAATGTTGGCCACTTTCATCACTTGCCAAAAATGAGGAAAGGAAGCCTTGTGATGTGATAATATTAATTTTGTCAATAGCATCCAAGATTAAATTCAAAACTCCTTCTTCTTGGAACAAATCTTGACGATTTCTAAGTGCTCGAAGTTTGTTTTGTTTCTCTTCATGCTCCATGTCATCTTCTGGTTGTGCAAAATAATTAATTAAATCTTCTAAGCACATAACCATTTCACTTAAATTTACGGTTTGGAAAAATAGTGAGTGTCTTCTATTTTGTTGCAATGTCTCAAGTCCACTGTATATGAATGATGAGTAAATTAGTAAGAATGGAAGTTAAGAGATAATTATTAGTAACTTACGTTATAAACTTATGAAATAAACTACTACATTTACGAATTACACGAGCTGTACGTGATTCTTCTTCTTGTGAACGTGAAAAATCCAAACCGTCATCCATTTTACCTTCTTCGTGTAAAATAGCTTGTTTTTCTTCAACTTTTCCTACACCTTTCTTTTTAGTCTCATAACTTTTATAAGATAACCATAAACCCGACTCTGCATGTTGTACAATAACTGTGGAATCACCATATTTAATGATTGGTGAACCAATAACTTCTAAATCTTTATCTTCAAGTACAACTTTCTGATCATCCTTCTCATGTCGCAAACAAAAAGCTGTCTGAGCTGTTGTTGCTTCTTCTCTGCATATCTGCGAATTGATATGATTGATAAAAAATTGATTTGATTTTGAGTGGCTTAATCCTTACCAATATTAATTCATTAGCTTCATTAACTCCTAAATATCTACCAGTAGTCAAATGACGAATTCTCATTGGATGATACCAATTAATAAAACCTCCTGACCATTTTGTTCTTGCTAATTCTAATCTCCATAAGGATCTAGCTTGTGACATAACAGATCCTCCTTCATAAACGACAATACTGAAAAATTATACATACTTCAATTAATGATTTAATCACATTGCACCAACTACGTTGAAAATCACCGAAAATCAAATTGAGGTCGCAAAATAAAAACGTTGGAAGATTTAAAAGTCAATAATCTTCTAAAATTGAGGAAATTCTGAATGGTTTTAAACATAATTATGTAGGAAATGAAAATCTTCTTTCAAAAATAACATTTCTAATGCTGCAAACCTTTCATAATTGCATTCATTTCGATTTTAAATTCTTTCATTCTATTCTTTTTTCTGTGACTTCATTGTGATTTTGAGCAAATTTAAACTAAGTTGGTGCATCTTGGATTTAACTACAATTTTACGACATTTGAAAAAAATAATTACTTTTGACCCGGTTGTCGAGTCCACGTTGAAGGTATAGTAAGGCACTCATCGCCTCCGTGAAAGAAACGTAAAACATCACCTCCAAAAACATAACCTACATATTTCATTCTCGATATGCCAGTACCATAAGGCTGTACTGACCAATGTGTAACGTGGAAACTCGCATTTACAATCGAAAAATCATTTTCTTTTGTTGTGTGTAAATAACGTTCTGTAGCGACTGATACTAAAATCAAGTCATCACCAACACGTACTTTTTCACCCTCAGATCTATAATAGTAAAACAATTTATGGCAAGTTAACCTTCGCCTTATCATCATACAAACAAAATTGTATACCTTTGTTTACTAGCTGGATGAACACTGTTAATGTAATAGAACTAGTTAATTAATCAGTAATGGTAGATTTAATTGTAAGAAATACTAACGTCCACCAACAAGCTTCCCCGTGACTGTGTTCTTGCAAACCCACATCAAATGACAATTTATCATTAGAAGATGAAGTAGACAAGCATGCCAAGTACTTCATATAGAAGAGATTATAAATGTTAAAGACTATTTAAAGCTGAATTTAATTTTAATTATTACCATGTCACTGTTTTGGTGACGAAGTAAAATGGCATTGCCATAAAGCAGTGTACGATGACCTGAACCTGTTCCTTTTTGCTAAAAAAATTCCGTTAAAAATAATTAAGATTGAAGTGAAAGTAACATTGAAAATCTTGAATGTTAGGAATCGATATCAAGCAGTTATGATGACATTGAGTGATGTGACAACAACCTTTACAGGTGCATATTTATCATCATGGTGTTCACGGGTAAGTTAATTATTTTAAAATAAATTACAAGCATCATATTTCGAGCGTCAAAGTACTACAAACTATATTGTTGGTGAAAAAAGTTGCTATAAAATGTCAATTGAGACCAATTGAACAATTTTATGGTTGATGTTCACGCTCGTGTTAATTATTAAAGTGTTTATAAAATCTATTCTACTCAAAAAAATTAAAACTACACACAAATTCTTATATTTCCTAGAAATAATATCTTAATGAATGATTAATGTTGATGACAGACGAATACATAAAAGCTTTTGGAAATAGTGTATCGAAGCTTTTGGGTATCTTGATTTTACAGGAATGACACATGTATGGTGATTTGATAAGATAAGGTTAATTTAACGTTCTTAAATTCGTATTAAAATTAATAAATTTTATAAATAATTCAAGGCATCGGTCCTTTTAATGATCTCAAAAATCTCTGAAACTCAATACTCATTTTCAGGATCAATATTTATTCGAACGACGTTTTATGCAAGTTTTTCACTTTTAGAAAACAGATCCCGGGTGGACACAGCTGGTTAAAGTCCATTATTGGACAAAAATCTGCTAGTCTTTTAATTTGCCAATATTCATAAGACATACAGAACTAGACGTTACCTAGACTTTAACTAGCAATCATGCTAATCAATCAAGTGCTCGAATCTCAAAAATAATTTCTATTTTTTATGTCCAGTTAAATGAAACGTGCAAAATATATCATTAGTCGTCCCTAAGTCTAGTTGCAAAGGCAAGTCAATGGATGCTTACTTGCCATCAATAGGTAAGTCAATAGCAAGCTTTTAACTAGTTCTTTGTCCACTCGGGGGGACATAAATGAGATTTAAAAACTGTGGAGTAATTCAAGTTTTGTTTGTTTCCAACAAGTCCTATTTGAAAGCAGCATCCAGCAGTCATCATTTATCTTTCAGTTTCAAGACAAAATAGGAAAGTGTTTTTCCAATTTGATCCAATTCTATGAAATTCCCATGAAGCAAAGTATTCATGTAAAGCAAAGAACTGCAAAGAGTTTTTGAATTTTCATCGATGTACAGAGCCTTGAATTAATCATAAAAGATATGGTTATCAATTCCAGTTTCAAACATGATTTTAGAATTTAAAAAATTTTGTTGAACAGAAATCCATAAATTACGTCATGCTTTGAACGGAAAGTTAATTAAAATGGCAAAACAATTTTTTGTAAGCAATCTAAAATCTATTGAGCTCAATTAATACCCATAACAAGAGTATGAAACAGTAGTTGCATTAAAAAAGACAAAACAAATTTAGAAAAAAACAAAATTTTTCGCATGTTATTAAAATTCTCAATTTCATTAAACAGTCAAATTATTGTATTCTTTACTTACAACTGAACTGTTATCCTGAAAAAATTCGTGGGAATTTTCAAATTATTATAATTTCGAAAAATTTCTATGACTACATAAAATTGTTGAGAAGCATAAAATTCACAAGAGAAGATTTCTTCCATTTTTTTTCCTATACATAATAAATAATTCAGCCCGATAATTCCTTAATAAGCTTTTTGCAACTGTTTTTATTCTATCATCAAAAAATCAAGCACGAAGAGAACCAACAAATAGCAATTCATAACTTAAGTTTCTAGATAAAATCCATCATCGTGGCAAACTCAAAATCTTCTTGACATGGAAGACGTAATTTATGGAAATAATTGCTTTACCTAGACGAGGATCACGCGAAGCAATTTTTCAAAGCAAACCCTAATTCCTGATCGTGGGTTAGACAGAATGCAAACTTTAACTGTTTGGGCATCGACGTTTTAGAATTTCCTTTTAAAATCATTAATTAAGTTGTATTTTACGTGTTTTTAAAACTAAATATTGAAAAAATAGTGTTCTATATGATTTGTTAAGTCTAAAAAGGATATCTATATACATGTGTGGTTTTAAAGTTCCACGATAAGTGCGAGTGTAAAATCTATCAACTCTCAAAAATTATGTATTTACAAGATTCAATACTTACAGATTCTGATGCTGTGGCAGTAACAAGTTCTTGAAGAGCTCTCACAGACAATGCTTGCTCAATAACAAACACACCTATTTGTCGTTATAAATCACTATCAATATTATTCAATTCATGCTTGATGCATGCATTTCAGGATAGTTAACATTTTTGGGGATATCAAATGAATGACTATAACTAGCTGTTACTGAAATGCATGCATCATTGCTATTGCACTCAATCTTACGTACATTGTGATAGATCTGGAGGAATATTTTTATCCGCAATATTTTCCAGAAAACAATGTCGATTACCGAAGCCTTCTGCTGCTAAGCATACTCTTTCGCCGGTTGCTGTACAGGACAAGCAAACCATGTCTTCCTAGAAATTTTGACACTCGATTTATTTGAGTTTGACACGTTTTGTATTTTTAAGGATCTTACGGTACGAAGAAATGAAACATCATCCTGTTCCGACCCCCCTTCAGCTTCGGCCATTTTTTCAAGTTTGGCCTATCCTTTTAATTTTGAATCAATTCCACCAATCTTTGTTTTAACTATAAAATGAAAAGGATATATCGAGATATTCAATTTTTGAATCATAAGAATATTTTTTTAAAAGAATTGGCATGAATTTATAAGAAATTATCGGAAGTGATAAGAGCTGATAAGAAATCAGGATATTCCAGGATTTAAAATATCATAAATTTTAAGTTTAAAAATTTAATTTCTATACAATTAAAGTTTTTAAAATAAGGATGATGAAGATTACAGATCAAAACATGTCTTTAAACTTTTTCACCACTTGATCCTTCTTATCTCTCAAAACAGTTTACTCAGAGTATTTTATGTTTATTGCTCAGAGTAAGTCAACATTTGTTTGAGAAGAAACTTTTTATTTCGAAATTTTCTCATGAGAAGTTTTTCTTCGGTTTTTCGAAATTCACACAAATGAAATTACTCTCGTCATTTTTACACAAAAACGAAAGGAACATTGATCACGAAGATTTTGTTTTTTACTGCTTCGTGTTTTGTGTAGTTACACACTTTTTTCGTGTATACACACTTCATGATCTTACGTACGAAAAAAAGGTTTTTCTAATAAAATTTTCACTTTTCCACTTCACATTTTCTTTTTTTTAATACCCATTTTATAATTAATATCGAGGGTTCTTTTCTTTTCAATTTTTATGATAACGAAACTGCGGGGAAATCATTTGGTTTATTTTCTTTAAATCTTATGGGATTAGTTTTGATTATTTAAGTTTGTTAAGATCTTCAAAGTAAACGGAAGTAATTTGATATGATATGATCCCTGAAAACTTTTACACATTGTTCTAAGCAATTGAATTTTTAATATGTTCCTTTAATATCATTAATATGAATTTTTTCATAAAAAGAGACAACCTGACTCTTCCCTAATAAATAAACAGTTTATAGGGGAAAACAATTCAATATGATAGATTACAACATAAGTTGAATGGTTATCTAATGATTTGTATGTCAGGATGAGTGCTATGTTCGGAAAATATTATAATTCTTTAAAAATTCATTCCTTATTAAAGTTCACATAAACTTATAAAAAAATTAAACCAATTGAAAATGCAGTTTGTGGCATTCTTTCACAGTTATATTTCAAAAGTTTTAATTATAGTTTACACATAAGTTTCCTGTTGTCAAAAATATTATTAATTTCCTTCGAAAACATTTCTTGATCTCAATTTTATGGATATAATCGATATTTATTTTCACAGAATGTTCACAAAAGCTTTAAGAATTATCAATCAATAATGTCTAACGTTTTGGGTAAAGAGATCTAATGACAATATTCTTGTCAGAGTATTTAAAAAATAAGCAGGGGTTCTCATCTATCACAATTGCAGATAGATGACATTATTGAATAATCCCTTGTAGCCGCACGTGAACAAAATTGAATTAATTAGTCATAAAAAATCACTATGATTTCAGTGCTGTCTACTTAAAACATTTTCTTTAGTTTCTAGATCACTACTGTGTAGCACCGTGTTATATTAATAGATCAGTGAATTTTTTCAACCTTTTTTCTTCTTTCACTTTATCGTCCATTTTACTTTTCAGATTTTCACATTTTTGCATACTTTTTTAATCCATAAAAATGACTTTATTTCCATTTTGGACATTAAATATTATTAAAATATAACATTAAATTGATTTTTAATAACATTTTAACCTTTAGAATCACTTTTTTTGTAGGAATGATCATCAAATTTTTTCTTGATCAGAGGATATTTTTAGAATTTGCTGGGACTTAAAATTGAGGAAAATTGGGAAATTCCTTTAATTTCTTATCAGAACTTATATTTTCTTGTTGCCTTTAGGCTCTTAAGCACTTTTATGCCATTTCCAATAATTTTTTCGCGATATCTTCCGATAAAAATTGATTTTTCAAAAAAAAATTCACTCTGATTTATTTTTAGAAATTTTTTTCACCTAAAATTAGTAGCGAACAAGTGGCAAGATGTGAACGATTTGAAGTACAGTACTCAACTGAGTTAATTTTAACAAAAATCCTTTAAAAAATTAGAAAATTTTTCTCTCTCAATTTTCATGTTTTTCCAATTATTATTATAAATGGGTTATTGTATTATATTTTTATGGATATAACATGAACATATAAGCATGCTTGATCCATAAAGCTTTTAAAGTGTCTATGGTATTACTCCAATAAGGAGCTTTTGGAAGTTTTTCCAAACTCACCACAATCACATTTTTAAAAAGGTCATGCAATAAGCATGCAGTTTTGGTGACTGTCAATTTCGGAATAGATTCTTGGAATTAAATTCTTATTCCCGATTAGAATGTGGGAATCTAGGGAAAGGGATTCACAATCTAATTATACTAGCTTTACTTATTTTGGCTCAACTGATTTAATTACTCTATAAATAAAATTTTAGGATATAAATTTGTGGAAGGTCTTGCATAATTTTTTTTCTTTTGATTCTATGCATTTTATATTTTTAAACTGTTAAATCATCATTTGAATGGTACATAAGTTGGAGATATGCATGAATATTGTTTAAAAAAATTAATGACTCCAAAAGATTGGAAGGGATGATATTGGATATTATTGATTGTGCAGCCCCTGTCATGCTGCACAGTAAACCTACTAAATTAAAAATTCCTGAAAAATTTGAAGTTTTATTCGAAGAAGTTTTTTGTAATAACTTACCAAAATTTTTGGAAGCAAGCAGTTTATTATAGCTAAGTAAAGCTAGTCTAATTAGAAAAAGTCAAAACCGGCGAGAATTTTATGGCATGAATTGTCTAAAAATTTAAAAACATGAAAATCATGTAAGCTTTCAAGATTTATAGAGTCTATTTAAAATCCTTAGTTTTATTATTAAAGATATTTCAAACCTTGTCAATTAGCTTTAATTGTAAAGATTTTAAGTTCAAATTTTTTATTTTTGAGCCAAAATTTTCAATTTTTAAGTTGGCCAAAAATAGAATTTCGAAAAGAGCGTTTGTAGCTTAACATTAGACAAATTTCAGATCTTGTCTCTCACGATCATGAAGGAGAGTAAAATTTTAATTTCTCCGATCAGGTCGAGGTCAACCTATACAATCAAAAAGAAAATTGTTCGAAAAATTTTCTCAAAAAGTGTGGGTGCAGCTTTTACAATAGTCTATGTGCATTGCCAATGTATTTTTGTTTATATTATTCGAAATTAAAACATGACTTTTTGTTGTGTCTTGATGCAGGTCATGTCTCAAGTTTACAAACGACGCTAAACATTTTTAGAGCTTGGCAAAATGACAACATTTTTTAATTTATTTTTAAATACTCATATGTTTATTATTATACTTTAAGACAGTTATTAGATTGATAATTAATAGAAAAATGAAATGAAATCGTGATAACAAATGATTTTTCACTATTTCGTTGAAAATTCTTTTTCATTTTTGTTTCAATGAATGAAATAACATTAAGTTGCAACTACCATTAAGAAATTGATATTTTTGTTTAATTCAATTTTTCTACCAATTTAAATTAGGTCTGCAAACAAATTAATTGATTGAATTATCAGGGATCTTTCACAAATAACGTCCAACAAATTAATTGATTTTTATTCGCCATCGAGCCTTTTAAGAGAAGCGAAATTTACCAGCAGATTTCTAAGATTTGTCAATATGCAATTTATCATTACTTTTGTTGTTTAAATTATCCTCGGTAGTATAGTGGTGAGCATCACCTTTTGTAAATCTTCTGATCATTATGATTTTGAGAGGATGTATAAATTACAAAAAGTTACTTTTATTCTAGGTATCTTCTCCGTTGCAGGATTTTTACCAATCTTAATTATTTCAACTATTAGATTTACATTCTATGTTACAACATTGAAACATCATATTTAAACTTCGTGTGTTTAAATTTTTGGCCAATGGAATATTTTTTTAAGAATTATGACTGTTTAATTCCCTCCTACATGTTGCACGCCATGTGTAAACGATCTCTTAGTATTGTTAACGATTAGATATTTTACACACATAAATTATTGACTTGATTAATATAAAGGCTTAAAAATTCATTTTCGTTGATTACATTATTTCTTTGTTGATCATAATAATAATATCAAGACAATCTCAAATGTCCACAAAACATTTGATTAAGTTTATTGAAAAAGATATCGACATTGCAGCTTTGCGCAATTGAGTTATTTTTCTCATCATATCAGACCGGTCTAGGGGAATCAGGAACTGGTGGTGGCGCCACATTCATTCTTTTAATTTGCTTCTCAAGCTTTTTATGCATGTCCTCGATAAAGTCCCTATCATTAGAAGTCGGAGATGTTTTATCTAAAAGATTATTATTCCTGTCTTCACTAGTTTCCTCGTCAGAATTAATATTACTGTCAGAATTCGAAGGTGAATGTGGAGATAACATTTCTTGCTCCTGCATCACAGCTCGAAATTCCTGAATAGATTCATTTAGTGCCCACAATTGTGAAAGTAATGATAAGTCTAACTGTCGTAGGCTGTACTGTAATTTTTAATGAAATATAACAAGTTTTACAAGAGTGACAAAACAAGAATCATTAGTTTTATGTTACCATTTCAGATTTTAGAATGGCAAGTTTGGTGTCTAAAGTCGTCGTTTTTCGACTCATTGACGATGACGAGGAAGACGTTAAACTACGTTGAGAATCAAATGATGTTAGATTGTTCTGTTGAAAAATTTGCATATGTTCTTGGGATTGCTGCTTAGCTAAAAGTTGTTGCTGAAGTATTTCGATAGCACTTAGTGCGTTCGGTAAAGGTGGTAATCCAGAAAGTGACATTTTAGTTATTTTCTATTATTAGAGTAAGTTTTCAAATAGCACAAAACTTATTTTTTAAATTTTCTTTTTTTCTTCTTCTGACTTTTTTTTTTTAAACTTATTGATTTGAAAATTCTATTGTCCTTAAATTTTTCTTTTTATTCTGAATTAGGATATCTAATCACTTTTTATCTATCATTAAATCTCCAAGTTTGACGGCACATTGGACATAATTGTTGATTTAATTGCGAATTTAACCATTTGCAGATGCAGTGCATATGAAATACATGAGAACAATGTCCCCAAACTAATGGACAGTCATCGCCAGCGAAAGAGCAATCAGGACAGCAAGCTAAATTTTGAAAAAAATAAATTCATTCTTTTAGACGACTTATATTTTAATGATTTATACCTTCAAATGCCATTCGACAAATTCCGCAATTATCGTCGTTTGCTATCCATTTCCATAATGCAACTCCAGTCCAACCTTTAAGCATAATTAGCTATTAAATCATAATTTTCATTTTTAAACTAGTTTTTCCAATGTCAAATTTGAAAATTTTCCAATTTTTCACAAAATCGATATTTTCTTCATTCCTTTACTGTTGACTCATGTCTTTATATGATTTCTACTTACTTTTGACTGTAACTTTCATGATACTAAAATGCTAATAGTATGTTTTTCATTTAATAAATCAGAAAAGAAATAATACTTTTAACAAAACAAAAATTCGTTTTTTTGCTCAAGGGGGTTTTACGATCGTAAAAAATTACTTTGATCAATTTTGACTAGTTTTATGAGAATAATATTTTAAATTATTTTATGAAAAATAAGACCCCCCCTTGGCTAGGCAATCATTATCAATTATGTATGAAGTTGGTAAAATAAAGATCATGCTTTTCATCATTTTCTGCTTGTAATATTTAATTATGACTATCTAGTATTGCATAGTTTTGCCAAATATATCAAGTTTAATTTAATTCGTGAAGCAGCATACACAATTTAGCTTCTTAAATCATAAAAGAATTGTGAACAAAAAACTGTGTAATTTTCGTGACACAATTTCTTTTAATTCAAATTTTAAAAATCCGTTACTGAAAATAATTAAATGCTGGAATTGAATGGAAAGACTACAATTTATTAATTAAAAATTATTTTTTATTTTGTTCAAAAATGTTAATAGTAAGTAAGAAAGTAAAGGATCATTTTTGTTAAAAGAAATGCAATTTTTAAAATCTTAGGTTTCAATTGAAAGAAAATGAAAATCATCTTTGGTTAATTACTCCTGATCGCTCAGAATGTTGCAAGCTCCATTAGTAATGCACTTGCAAGACTTTCCTGAAGGTGACATACGATTCACAAGACATATATTGTCTGCAGGACAATCTCCATTGTTGACACTGCATGCATTATAGTCAATAGGGCATCGATCAATAACGGCTGTTACACCGTATGTTTTATGACTGCTAAAGAACAAAACTTGAATTGGTGTTTGACGAACACCATTAAAGTCTATGCTTTCAATCTTTTTGGTTGTCCAATCTGACCAATAGAAATGATCATCAGTAATAGCAAGACCGAAAGGATATGACAAGTTATCAGCAATGAGACGTGGCTGTTGAGTGTAAGTATCAAGGCATTCAATCTTTTGATTGCCAGCATCAGCATAACAAATTTCTCCAGATGATAATGACAAAGCTAGAGAATTTGGAAGTTTAACATTAGGGAAGCTCAATAATGTCTGTCTGTCTGTTCCGTCAAGATTAGACCATTCAATTTTCGGTGCTTTTCTATTCCAATCTGACCAATACAATTTACTAGAGAAAATAATATACTATGAATTGAATGAATGAAGCATATAGTTATTATACATACTTTTGCAATGGATCTACTGCAATACCTCTTGGGTTCACTAATTCACGATTAATTAAAACTGATCGTAAAGTAGAGTTTTCCAAACTAGCAACTTCAATAGTATCCTTTGCAGAATCAGTCCAGTACAATTTGCGTCCAATCCAATCGACAGCTACGCCTACATGTTTTATAAAAAATTTTATTACCCATTAATCTTGCTGAAAAGAGTCACAACTTTACCTTCGGGTGACATGATATTTTCATTAATGAATGGCTTTTTGTCAGTTCCATCATATTTGGCGCTGAAAATTGCCTTTGCAGAAATATCACTCCAATAAACACGTCCTTCAGCACAATCTTTGTCGACACCTATAGCCCTATTAATTACATTGTAAGCTTGTTACTGTCAATTATTATCTTAAAAATATAACAAATTTACATCATTGCTGTTGAAACTGGAACACTTCGTTTGTTGGCACTGAGTGAAACTTTGACAGTTGCTACGCCTTGTGAAACAATTAAGAAGCCAGTTTCATGTTTCGGAGGTTGAGTACAGATCGAACCATTTCCGATGAATCCTATGCAATTAAATATCATTTGTGAGATATAAATTGATGTAAATCAGAAATTTAAGGCATACCTTGATTGCATACACACTGATATTTTCCAAAGTTTTGTGTGCAATGTGCATTAACATCACAAAGTTCAGGGATATTATTACAATTATATTCAGCAACACAGACAAATCCATCACCCTTATATCCATCATTACACGTGCATTGATAACTTGAAGTTCTAGGAAATGAATTAAATTTTAAATTTTTATTGTATTCTTATTTAATAGATTCAAGAAAATACCTGTAGTTAGGGACACATGAAGCATACAATCCACAATTATTTCGAACATTACATGTTGGTGGAACTGATTTACATTCAGTAACTCCATCACCAACAAATCCATCAGGGCAGTAACAGAAATGAACTCGTGCACGATCATCAAAACGACAATATGCATTTTCAGCACAATAAGCTCCATTGCAAGAGCCTGCAGGGACACACCTGATTTAAAGTTTAAATAATCAATGAGTTATGACCAAAATTTCTATTAGATAATGCCATACAAATCAGAATTATCTCTTTCGTATCCAGCAGCACATTCACAGACACCTTGATTACAGAACGAATTTACATCAGTGCATTCTGCTGATGTTCTGCATTCTGCTGCTAAATTACAAGTTCTTCCATCTCCCTCATATCCTTCCTACTCAAAAATACTAAGTTTTATTACATATATTGAAATGCTGTGCTTAATAAACTTACCTGACACAGGCATGCACTTTTTCTTAATGTTACATTATACACACAATCAGCATGAATATCGCAAATGTCTTCCTGAGCACAATTAGCTTCAACTTCGGTACAATCAATACCATTTCCATCATATCCTTTAATTTTTTGATTGCATTAATTTTAAAATGAATTTATTATTTCAATCAGTCAGACTTACCTGGAGCACAAACGCACTGATAGCGCTGCATATTTTGATCAAATTCACAGTTTGCGTATGGGTGACAGTTATTGACAACATCGCATGAAACTATAATTTTCAAGACTTTAATTGTAAATAATTTTTAAAAATTACTGAGCTAGCATATATAACTACCTGGATGTTGTGCTGTCTCTTCTGGTGTATCATCGTAACGACAAACTGCACCAAAAGCATATTCAAACAATTTATAACCTCGCGGACAGACACATTGAGTTTGAGTACAGTATGGTTTGACTTCGTCTATTTATAGGCACATGGTAATTAATTTATTTGAAAATAAAAATTGCCCAACATTTTACCTTCTTCAATTAGCTCGGAATTTTTGATGCACTTCTCACCATCAAACATTTCATTCATAGCACAAATCATGCTACAGTCTTGTCCATTTCCAATAAATCCTTGATTACACACACAGACACCTAGTTTGGAAGATTAAACCATTATAAATCTTAAGCTTATTTTAAAAGAAGTTTTTAACCAACCTTCCAAGCATTGAGCATTTTCTGAACAATCGCGGCAAGGTGCAACTGGTGGAGGTGGAGTGCGTGGTGTTGTTTGTATAACTTCTGTTCTTTGACAATCATATCCATTTCCATAATATTCTAATAAATAAATTATTGTTAAATTGGATCACATTATTGAAATCAGATATCTACCAGGAAGACAGATGCAGTCATATCCACCGATTCTATTAATGCACTCAGCATATTCTGAGCAAATATGATTACCGGAACATTCATCAATATCAACGCAAATTTCTGGTGCATCACGATCTGGTCCATTGGAAGCAAAAACGAAACCATTTTTACATTGACACTGTATAGAATGGATGATTATTGGAATGTTCTGAATGAAATGATCTTGCACAATTTACCTCATATGCATCCTCATTAGGAATGCAAATCGTATTGTCTCCACAATTTGCTGTGCCCTCAGTGCAAGGATTAGATCGCTCATCGAGACCTATTTTATTAATGCTTGATATACGAACAGCATTTTCTTGTGAAAAGTATCCTAGTGAAACTTTTGAAGATTTTAATTTGGTGTTTACATTTGGTAATTGACTGCAAGAGTCAAAGACAATCTATAATGAAAATGAAAGCTTCTTGTAGGAACTTGGATGCTTTATAACAAAAACTCTTACATCTTGATAGATTGTATATTCAATGTCAGGATCGCCCGATGACAATTCAATCTTCTTTGATGAAACCGATTGAATTTTATTGATCCCAGAAACGGTATATTCCTCAACTGATTCGTCCATGTACAACTTTACACCTTCCTTTACTTCAGGTACATCTCCATTAATTTCAATTTCAGCAGCTAATTGATCCCAAAGATTAAGTCCAATAAAACGTTGTGTAACTTGCAGATTTTCACCAGTGTTGAATCTGATTGAACTGGTATGATTAAAAACACCCCCAGTAATTTGATAACCATTGAGTGTATTGCTGAAAGGCTTTGCAAACAACCAACCGACAACGCCACCAATTACTTCAATAAGTTGAACTTTTGAACCCAATTCTCCATTTAATGAACTGATTGCTGCGTAAATTCTTCCATCTTGCATCACAACATATGCTTGTAGTGGTGCTGAGATACTCTTAGATCCAATTTGTCCCGTAATTTGACCAATTACACGAATTGGAACTGTACTTTTGATACAATTAAATCCATTTCCATAATAATCATCCTTGCATTTGCAGCAAAATGAGTTTCGTTCTGGTTGATCTTCACAAATAGCTGCTACATGGCATTGAAGCCTACCACCGTCTGAGCATGATGTCGGTTTAATAATATCTTCATCTTTAAAGATATTATCTGGTTCCTTGACACTTTCACTTTCCAAAAGTTTACCAACACGGTATAACCAACGTCCATTTTCTCCAGAATTTGATGTTTCTTTCAAGTTACGAATACGATCAGTTCCAGCACCTTTTAACAATGTATAGCGCCCATCAGCCGCAACAAAACCAGCTCGTGCGCGAATATCTGGAAGGCCAGATTCTCCAGTATCAGCTTGAACCCATTGAATTCCATTTTGTGGATAAAGAAATTCAGCATATGATTGATCATCACTTGAAATGATGGCTACTTGAAAAGTATTGAATTCATTGCTTCGCTCTTGTTCCGATTCTTCGCTTTTCCATTTTGGCACTCGAAACCACGTCGCAACAAAAATAGATTTTGCATAAAAGCTTGATGCATCCGAAAAGGAATTACGAATAAGATGTGAGGCAGTTGCTAATACTGAAGCGTCTGTGCTCTCATAATATGAGATTGTACTTGATTGATCGGCATATGTTGTGTCGATATTTGAATAAAATGGACTTATTGAAGGATATTCAATTGGAAATGGTATATTCAAAAACTCGGGAAATTCGTTCACAAAAGTCAAGATTCCATTACTGTTAATCTATTTAAGAAATATTTTAAAGAATATAATCTTATTGGATTAAAAAAAAAAAAACATTTTCGTCAAGAGACTTCACATGCTGTATTAAAAAACATGGTTTTTTTGTTCAAAAAAACAGATGCTTAAACTAATTCTTTTTTTCTTCACCCAATATCTATTAAAAATGTTTGCCTTGCTAATTTTAATGTAAACTGGATGTATGATGCGCGTATGAGAAGACTTGAAGCCTTTCAAAACATGTGTTTTTAAACATTCTAAAGTGGCATGATTAACATTATTTATGTGCTCATGACTTAGATTTAAATTTATTTGAACATTTAAAAATTCAATTTTGGCGCTTTCTGTAGGTCATTACGGTCTATAGCTTCATTTTGTCTGCCTGTTTTTTGTATTTTATTTCTTTAGTTTTTTACGAATCTTATTATGATATACAAATGAATTATGTTTATTTATTTCAAGCTCAGAGATTAGGTTTGAAGGAAAGGATACAAATTTGCTAAGCATAGACACAAAGGAAATAACCTACATCTTTTTAGGAAAATAGAATGGGGGCTTTTGTGAGATTTAATTCAAGGGAAGACTCCCCAGTAAGGTTACAGATAGTTCAAAGAAAATAGACGATATTCTTCAAGTCGAGTAGTTTGATTTGTTTTTAAAAAATTAAGAATTAAGTAGAAGATTATCCTTTTAAAATCTAAGATGGTTACCCTGAAGTAGTTCAGATTCTACAGCAATGTACTGATTTTGTTGATAACTTTGACATACTTTTAATTTGTAAAGTTTTTTTTTAAACGTTTTGTTTTATTTCTGAATTTTATTGATTTCCAATTTTAAGAGGGCTAGCGCCAATTGGTTTCTGTCTTTTTACAGACAGATTTTGTCCTCAACGGATGATTGCGTATTTGCAACTCTGCACAATTGCATTGACACAGGGTACATCAATGCAAAGTACCTAGCCACATTTTGCACGTCTCAAATCATACAAATGGAGTTGCCATGACTAGAACAGCGAAAAAAGCACCCAAAATCCGACTAGACATTATTAGCCGTTTATTGCTTTAGAACTTAAAGTATTGATCAGTTAATTAAGGAAAAGACTTAATAAACTATAAAACCCATAAAATAAGAACTTTGAAGGAAATAAATAAGAACTAAGAAAAAATAAGATTGGAGCTTAGAAAATATTTTGCTTAAAAATTAAGTTCAAAAGGTGTTCAAAGATTTACACAAAACTTGTCAATGATTATCAGTCATTTCCTTATTAGAATATATTTTAAGGCATATTACAATACGGTTGCACAAAATTATGAAATTCATTTACTGCAGTGCACTGTTTAAATGCGCTTAAGTAGCTTTCCACGTAATAAAGTTCACAGCATGCTTAAGAAGTAAATGAAAAGATATGGAGAACTAGCAACAAGACTATTAATGAAGTGCAGTGAAAAACAGAGCAAAGGGTTACACCTGAAAGGGTGTGATTTATGTCTGAGAAAATCATGTTAATGATGTTCTTAAAGCGAATGATCTATGGCACTTGAACATGTTTATTTTTCCTTAATTAGTTTTGAGTGTTTCTTTTTTCTTTGAAAATCATATCCATATAGAGGAGTAATAAGTATTCATGGCAAACACATGTGTCTTGTTTTCTTTAAAAAAAAATAGAATTTTTCATTTTTTTAATACTGATGCTAGTAGCACCATCCATACGATTTTTATTTAATTTAAAATTGTCTATTTTTAAATTTTTCTTCTTCTCTTTATAAGAAGATAGATATAATGATACGTGAAAAATAAAATATGAAGCACCACGATTATGGATGTCTAAAAATACTGTTCATTTATATAACGTCTTGGGTGGTTCTCGTCCATGAATGAATGAATGATAAATTTAAGAAAAAATTGCAATTATTTTGTTTGTCAAACTTACATAAATTGAATCATATTTTTCTGTGTAAAAATTGATTGGATTTTGCAAATTAACTAGTTTAGAATTATCGTTACCGCGTTCGAGAATAGTAGATCCAGGTGCATTAATATTGAATAAATCACGATCACTTAATGCATTGGAAAAGTATATCACCGAAATTAGTATAAAAAATTTAAAAAGTTCCATTTTTGCAATTATTAAATCCACTCAATTAACTTTCTTATTCCTCCTTGATACAATGTATGATCACTTAATTGCATTCACAAGTATCTTCTTAATGTTACACTTTTTATTTTCCTCTTTGATGTTGAAACGTCAAAGAGCAGAGAAGAACTGATGAGGATTTTTTGTGTGAGCAAGATTTTAAATAATCGTGGATATGAGAAAACATTGGAAGACATATGTACTCACTTACTTAAATGATCCCATAAAGATTTCAACCAAAAGAAAAATCTTTTTAAAAAGCCGGCGTAAACAAAAAAATTTGAGAAAAAAATAGAGAAAATTCTCTTGTGGAATCTTTGCACACATGTTCTCATATTGTATCTATACTGCATGTGATATTTGATTTTGTACATAAGCCTTTGAATGATCATTGATGCTCAATGTTAAGTTGATAATCCTCGTATTATTTAACATTTTTCTGTAGCTATATGAAGATCTATAATTTATTTGGACCGTAGATCATAATGTATAATTGTCACAGCTATATATCCACCCATAGAAGTAATGTTAAGTGTAACGATCTAAAGAAATTCAAAATTCTTACGTTTTACGTTGAAACTTTTGCGTGCATCAATATTTATGGGTCGAATGAGAATGTTCGGAAACAAATTCTTGGATATGAGACAAATTTTTGTAGAACCTTAATTTATTTTTCTTATAGATTCTTTGCCTATGTAGTACATTTTATTTAAGTAGGGTAAATAGAGCGGGTGATTAGAATTTATTCTTAAAAGAACCCAGCAATTGAAGAAATTTTTGAGGCATGTGGGGTGGGAGACATTACAGGATAGTCGTCAGTAACTGCTTAAAATAAATTTAAAAACCTATGCCTAAGAAACTCTTATACGTAAAATTTTCTCCGATTTTATTCAGTTTCGGACCATAGCGTGCTGTTACGTATAGCTTCATTATCGATAAGTTTGCTTACAACTACATTGTTTTGAAATTTTTCTTTTTAAAAATAGCAGATTTTGGAATTTCCAGTAAGTACCATAATTATTAGTTTAATATTTTTGCTTTATTAATTTGAATTAGCAATTTTTATCTAATGTCAAGAACAATTAGACTATAAAGTTTTCAATTATTGTAAAAATTTTGAACTTTCCATATGATTGATGTTTAGGAGTTAAATCTTTAATCCTGTTTGAGCAAAACCATAAATCTAATGTATGACGCACTTGTATAGTCAGTTATCTTTTAGAAAATAAGTTCCTACTTCATCTACAGAGTTCACGTGCATAATGAGTGATTCTTTTATTAAAAACGAGCCAAATTCTCCACACCATGCTCAAATTTCATCCAGATCTTCGTCAGCACAAAACAGTGAGATTGAACGAGATTCTTCAGATTCTGATGACAATACCAAAAGTAGTAACTCGTTGAGCTACAAAGAAAGAAGACGAGAAGCCCATACACAGGTAAACATCCAGTAGAGATAATCCAGTATTATAAAATATTTAATCTGTATGCATGGATATTTTAGGCTGAACAAAAGCGAAGAGATAACATTAAGAAAGGCTATGATAGTCTTCAGGAATTAGTTCCTACTTGTGCACAAAACGACACTTCATCTGGCTATAAATTGAGTAAAGCAACAGGTATGCTGGAATTTATTAATTTATTTTTATCCAGATGTTTGGCTATTAGTGTTGGTAGTTTTAATAGTTTACTAAGCTAGGCAAGTGAAATAAGTAATCCATTAAATTGCAGATAAATAATTACACATTCGGAAAAGGAATTATGACCCATCTTATTCTTTCAAGATTGTATTAAACATTATTTAAAATCTAGCAAATCTTGGCTAAAACGTGATCTGTTTCTACAAATACCAAAGTTTTGCTCTTGCGAAGTATATAATTTCATAGAAAAATCAAAACTATTTTTTACACGCTTTTTTTCCTATTTCGACAATTCTCGATTCCTATTAAGCTTTTTTGCAGCTTTTAAGCTATTCCAAGCAGAGTAATGGATATTGGGCACAACAATGAATCCCTCTTTTAAGCTTCTGTTTGTGAATAGAGACTTTTTAAGCAAATAACACGAATAACATAAGGGCCCCCCCCCCCCTGAACGTTCATAATCTATTTTATTTTGATAATTTTTTATTCTAAAAAGACGGTTAAATTTCTTTTGTATTTTTTTTTCTTAAACATCAAAATACTGTCCAGCTAAATAGGTCATGTTTTGATTGATGCTATTAGTATTTTCATGAATTATTGGATTGAGATATAAAGCAAAAATTTGTTTTTTTTTTTTGAAGAAAATTCAAAAATGTCATAAAAATTATTATGCCCGATCGAATTTCGGAAAATTCAATCAAGTTTGAATGTAAATATCACAATGATGGGATCATATTAATCATCATATGAATGACAGATTTAGAGAGATTTACTTTTAAACTTATGATTGATTTAATTTTGAAAATTTCCACAAATTATGATTGTATTTTAAAGTCTTGTAAACCAGTTTTCTATTGATTTGTTACTTTATATAACAAAAACTATGTATTGCTTATCTATCAAAATTGATCTGGACATTCATAAATCATTAAAAAGGTGGAAAATTTGGCAAGTTTTTGGTGTGAATTTGTAAACAAATTTTTTTCGTGAACTTTTTTTTAAAAGACAGACGACAGTTGGAACGTTACATACTTCTTGACCCCCCCCCCCCCCTATGTTACATTTGGTTACAATTTAAAAAAAATTTACAAAAAAAAGAGGGGGGTCTAGGATTTTGTGACAGTTCAAACAATGGAAATGTTTTTCTATAGAATTTTTGTGACAGAGGGGGGGAGGGGGGTCTAAAAATCAGGTTTTTTGATGGCAGTCATAAGTGAACGACTATTTTTTTGAACGACCCCTATGCTTAATGCATCATAAAATGGACTGAAATTTTAGGGTCTTAAAAGTTGAAATTATACTTTTTTGAATTGAAGAACCTTTAATGTTGCAAAATCCATAGTGCTGGGTTTTGCACTAAAAAGAGCCCATTACGGGCTTTAAAACATTAAAAATACTTATCGGTGTCTACAAAATAGGTATATTACATGACTTTTTGCCTTACTTTTCCATTTTGTTCTCAATATGTAATTGCTTTATTTAATGTTAAATAATTAATCTCAAAATCTTTCTAGTGCTTCAAAAATCAATAGATTACGTTTCTTATCTGAAACAACAAAAAATTAAGCAAGAAGAAGAACGTGCAGCTATGCTGAAAGAAGTAAAGGCTCTGAGAATCCTACAAAGGAATTATGAGCACATGCTTCAAAATCAACAAACTTCAAATCAGCAAATGGAAACGATAAGCGACGAAATTAAGTTTCAAGTCTTTCAGTCCGTATTGAACGAAATGTTTGTAACATTTGATAAGCTTCCAATGAATGATTTTGATGAACTTGTAAACTCAGTCTGTGAATGGCTTGAAAGCAGTTTTTCAAGTCAATATATTAAGCAAATAGCTCAACAAAGCCTTAATAACATTGCAGCGTCAAATGATAATGAACCAATGCAGAATTAATTTAAATAACAAATGAGGACTATTATTATTATTGCTATTATTTATGTCTATGCAATTCTATCTACTTGAAGATTAATAAAAATATATTTTTGTTTGTTTCATTATTGATACATTAATATGTATTACTAGATTTATTTCAATTAAAATTTGGTATAGTAATAACACTACAAATAATTTAATCGTCTTTTTTGTCAGAATCAGACTTTTCAGGAACGTTTTCGGGAGCTGCAAGTATTTTTTCTTTATCAACACCATCCAACATTTCACCAGAGAAGCCAAATTCATTAACACGCTTCTTGTCAACTTTATAAATCCATCGCTGATAGAGGAAAATAAAGAAGACTATGTCATCACGAAAGACTCCTAATCTGTATAATGTTGGCATTTTTATGACAAATGCAAAGATATCGTCAATGAAAGTATTAAGGAATTTATATGTCATCATTCTCCAAGGCATATGTGCTACACTCTGCATTTTATAGTTGATGAACAGTTGTGGAGTCATCATAATAAATCCTAGAATGAGACATAAAATAAGCATAAGAGACTATCTTGTCCAAATAACTAGCTTCCAGCCTCCCAAAGTTTACATTTAAAAGTATTTTTTGTAAAGAAAAAAAATGGACTAGAGATAAGATAAAGTACCATATTAAAACCAGCACAGACGTGATCTACGATTGCGCATTATCTCACTTATCATGGAATCAGTCACAAACAGACAAATTAAATAACGATTTAAGGTCTGTTACTCACCAAATGTTAACAAAAATCCATACAGCATGTTGAGAACGAATGAATACCATCCACGATGTTCATGATACAAGAGGGAATATCCACAATATCCCATTAATAATGGGAAGCATAACCATCCTAGATATTTAAATGCAAGATTGTCAAACTGCTTAGTACTGGATTCAATATAAGATCCTTTATCTGCGAACTTTACTTTAGGAATTATACCAAATAATTTGTTTTCAAAATCAAGCTTGAAATCAACAACTTTTTGAATTTTCCAGACTTCAATACCAAGTCCAATGAAGCATGACATCTTTATCATAAAGTTAGTTTCATTATCTAGCACATATAAAAGTACAATCAACGATTGGAATACAGTGAAGAATACAGATCGTACACTTAAGCCTTCTAAACTCTTTCGTTCACGCCAGAACTGAATGTCATTCTTAAATGCAAGAAGCTCAAATATTGTATGCAGAATAGAGATCATAAATGTCAAACCCAACAGATATGCATTTGTTTCCAAAAGAGTTTCTTTCAGAGAATCTTGTTCGTCATCTGTTTGTTCCTCATTTCCGAGCTCACCAAATATTGAATTTGCCCATTTATTACGCATGCCTTGTGCTGCATACAATTGGAATTTGAAGAGTGATAAAGGTTGATAAGTTAAAGTTAAATCTAATGTTGGAGTAGTTTTGTTAATAGGGAAGTAATCTCGCATCATATTCCAGTAATCATTAACAAATATGATTGGCATGTATGAATGTCCACTTGGTAAGAAAGTGACGTATTCATCTAATGGAGCAGGTAAAGATCCTTTTACCCACGTTGTTTGGTCCACAACCAAATTTATCGTTAAATTATTGTGCCAGTGATTCACTATTTTATTAACCATTGTCTCCGCTATTTCTATCTCCTCAGCACTTTTCTCAGTCTGTCCTGTTAATAGATTCTGTGTCTTTTGGTATTTAATTTTCCTATATTTATTAAGCTGTCGTCTACTATAAGCAATCTCAAAGCCCGCATAATCACCTTGTGCGTCTGGATTAGGTGATTTTCCATACTTTGTAATATATGTGTGTAAATATATACTTCCATTGTTCATCAGATTCTCAGATGCTTCAACTTTAATATTTTTTTCAAACGCTCCATCATTGTTAATTCCACTGCTCCAATCACCGTACGTAAATGTACTAAACCAGATTAGTGCTGAAGGATCCTGATATTTATTAAAATCATAATCTTCAGAGATATAGACATGCATATCAAAGAGTGTGCCATTTTCAAATAAATTAAATGCGGGAATCTGTCGACTTGTTGACACATCTCCATTTTCTGCAGGAGGTGCTGGTTGTGGCCGTCGGAAGAATGAAGTTATTAAATAAATAATTAATGCTCGAACAATGAATGTCTTAGTCAATGCAAAAAACGATTCGAATCTACTTTGTGGCGGTTGCTGTTGCTGCTGTGGTTGTTGATCATTCTAAAAATAATGTACGTAAAGCATAATTCGAGAGTAATTATAATTAGAGATTTTTTCTTTTCTTTCTTTTAAGGCTATAGAAAATTCTACTTGTTAATTTTTTTATCACATGAATGTAGTTTTTATAGCTTATTACATGTTCTGTACTTACCGGAGCATTTTGGACTGCTGCATTTTCATCATTGCTTTGTTCAGGCATTCCTTTAATTGATTCTTACTAAATATAAATTGTTCAATTTAATTATTTTTCAAAAAATCACTCTGATCTTAAAAGTCAGCCTTTGTTCCACGGCACACTCACTTATAGCTGATTATTTCATAACATTAATACTTTCTTCTGCTTGGATGATTTTTACATATCATATTTCTTTTTGATTTTTGCATTGTACCAAGAATATTGTAAGTTTCAATTTTAATTAATTTACACTAGATTTCTCTATTATTCACATAGTTTTGTTTGTTTAATTAATAGTTAAGATAGATTTTTATAAAGACAAAGTAAAATATAATAGTAATGAGCCGATTTAGACTAGTTTTTGTTAATTAAATTATTGTCCAAATGTTTTAACCTACAAATAATTTTTTTACTCATTTTTTTAAGGTACATCAAGATGCAAATCTTCGTCAAAACATTAACTGGTAAAACCATCACTTTGGAAGTTGAGCCTTCTGACACTATCGAAAATGTCAAGGCAAAGATCCAAGACAAAGAAGGAATTCCACCAGATCAACAACGTTTAATCTTCGCTGGTAAACAATTGGAAGATGGACGTACATTGAGTGACTACAATATCCAAAAGGAATCAACATTGCATTTGGTTCTTCGTCTTCGTGGTGGTATTATTGAACCATCTCTACGTATCTTGGCTCAGAAATACAATTGCGATAAAATGATTTGCCGTAAGTGCTATGCTCGTTTACATCCTCGCGCAACAAATTGTCGTAAGACAAAGTGCGGACACACGAATAACTTGCGCCCAAAGAAGAAGCTGAAGTAAGCTTTAGCAAAAAAAAATATTCTGTATCCTTACTACTGTTACTATTGCAAAATTATGAAATTAACATCATTTCATATACAAATAAAGCGGAAAATGTGAAAATTCCATGCAATTAAGGAAAACCTACAAAATTTGTCTTCCTCATTATTACCTATGCTGAAATTAAGTTATTTACAGTGTAAACAAGTTGATTGAATCAAACTAAATCAAGATCTTTTATTCGTTTTTGCCTTTTTTTTTTGATTACCATTAAGAACTAAAGTAATTTAAGAAGAGATAAAAAAAAAGGAATTAATGAATGTTTATCATTTAAAAGTTAGTTCACATTAAATTACATATTTCTGATCTAGACGTTCGTTTACCATTTCATTGGAAACATATATTCGACATGAATATCATTAATGATTAGTGATTTATCAATGAAAATATCTTCAGGATTTCGTACCAAACATTCAGTCATCTCACGTATCTACTGCAAAAAGAAGTCACAAAATGTTTCAAATAAGTTAAAACGGAACCAGAAATGACTATTTTCTGATTGAAAAGTTTTTGAAACGTAAACCATCTGAGAATGTAAAGCTTAGATATTTCTTCTTTCTAACATTTATTATAGAGTTGTGTGAATTTTTAATTAAACTTTTGTCTTCATGTTTCCTGATTATTAATTTCTTTTTCTAGGAGTTCTAGTAAGTTATCATAAAATCTTATCTATGTTTTTTTTTCAGAAAAAAATTTGTATGGTCCTCTGCCTTGTATAAAAGTTTAATAATCATTGCTTCTTAAATAAGGAATGCAAGTGGGTCACGTTGGAATCATTTTAAAGTAATTAACCAATTTTGCTTTCAAAAAATATCTTAAATTTTCAGTCACCAACAAGCTTCCCCCAGATTATAGAATCTTTAATAATATCCAATCTTCGTTTTTAAAAGATCATAATCTGCGGGATCCTCGGTTTAAAATATTGATTTGGACATCAAGGAATCCACTTTGTCTTAAGGGTCGTTCACTTATTATATTCTCTACTATTGTAAATTACAGAATTTTGTTAAACTTTAAACAAGTAAGTAAGGGGCTGAACTCCCCCCCCTTGTAACATATTGTTACAACTCACAACCCCCCCCCCCCTCAATGTTCATAATTTATTTTATTTTGATAAAAAGGTGGAAAATTTAAAAAAATGTTTTTGGTGTGAATTTAGAATTACGTTTTTAGAACGTTACATACTTCTTGACACCCCCCCCCCCCTAAGTTACATTTTGTTACAATTTTTCAACCCCCCCCCCCCTAAAATGCGAACGTAAAAAGCGAATGGCTAAGTCATTTTCTGCGGTAACGTAACATAGAAAACAGTTCTTAGAAAAAAATAACAACGTGACCTAAAATAGAAGCATCAAATTTTTTTTGCAAAAGAAATGAGGGTGAAATCATTACAAGCTTCCGGAAATTGATCTTTTACTTTTTTCTTCAGGATAAGGGCAGGATATTTTTATTTAATCAGAAAAATCTTAATCTTTGCTAAAAACTTTATGAAAAATGTTGGGTCGATTTAATCTAAATCCTCGGATTGACTTCCCAAATGGATTTAAAATAATCATAGGATTGGGAAAATTTCATCTCTTTGTCAATCGGGTCGGTAAGATTATCTCAAAATTCGATTATTCACCTGTACCTTTAGAATCAAAGTCAATCCTCAAGATTAATATAATCAGATTTAGAGAAATCGACCCATGGAACATGTGATACACAATAATTTTATAGGATCATTTATAAAAAGCATTTTGCAATGAATTAAAATAAAAGAATGTAAAAAATAAATTTTCCAAAAATTCTAACGTTAATTTTTTTACTTTTTAATAAGATTTTGATTCTTCAACATAAGTAAATTTTCTTTGATTTTCTGCTTATATTCAACAGTTTTTATTTATCTTTTTCTTGTTTTAAACGTTTTTTTTTTTCTTTATTTTAAGTTAATAAAAGTAATTGAAAGTGATTCTGCAATTAAATATGCCTCAAAACTTTTCTAAAACTGATATGTTTCAATTGAATGAGTAAATGAAAATATGAACAACTGCATCATCCCTTTCAATTAATTTCATTTGAAAGCACTTTTTTTTATTTTGTCATTTTTTTAAGTCATGTCTTTTATTCTTTTGTTTGTTTAAGTTTTTTTTGTAAAACGTAAATTAATTGGTAATAAGGAAAATGATTAAATTATAAAAATGTAGCATTTTTGCATGCCCGTCATTAAAATGCTCAACTAAATACGTTTAATACCTCAATTTTAAAATCCCTAAAATGCAGCTACCCTAATATGCAGATAGTACTGCTAAGATGCAGATGGTACTGCTAAAGTGCAGATGAAATTTATTTTCCCTAATATGCAGATGAAATTTATTTTCCCTAATATGCAGATGAAATGCTGTTGCTTTAAAAAAAGTATAATGCAGATGATTTTTATATTATAAAGTGCATATAAGATGCTGCTCAAATGTAGATCGTATAATTTTATTAAAATAAAGATAAAATGCTGTTATAATGGAGATAAAAATTATTTTATCTTGTAGAAAACAAAAATTGCTTTCTTTTGACATAGAATTTACTTCCTAAAGTTAAGGAGTTATGTCTGAAAATCACTTTAATTAAGCGTCACTCACGAATAATTTTTGTGAATTTTGTTATATAACCTCGACGATTTTTTTAGGATTATTGCTCAACGGAAAAATTAAATTTGAAATTTACTAACACTATCTTACAAAACATCAAAAATTAAATTCTCAAATATCTTAATTATTCAATCATCATTCCCAAATATTATGGTATGATTACGAAAAGTAGATGATACATTAGCTATTCTGCCTATTTTAAGAGCTTTAACATCATTATTGAGTGATATTTTCATGATTTTTTAAATTTCATTTCAATTTTTGTTTGTAAACAAACATCTCACGACAGAAAAAATTCAAAAAATTTAAAACGGTTGAAATTTTTTTAACTTAATTTTGTTCATTTAAGTATGTTTCGGGGACAATTTATTACTTTTTTTGAAACCAAACAAAAGAGAATAAAATTTCTGATTCAAAAAAATACATTTGAAGATATATCAATGAAAGCTGACAAAGTTATAGCAAAATTCCAAAAAATTATTAGTGACGCTTAATTAAAGTGATTTTGCGACATAACTGCTTAACTTTAGGAAGTAAGTTGTATGTCAAAAGATAGAAATTTTTGTTTCCTACAAGAAAAAATAACTTTGGAATTTGTCACTATTGTGGTTTAGGAGATATTTAAGATTTAAAGCGTCACAATAACTTTGTCATTTTTCATTGATATATCTACAAATGTTTTTTTTATATTCACACCATTTTCACGTGTGAATCTATTGGTTTTGTTCAGATTGAAAAATCAGTTTTTCGCAAGTTAATCAGCAAGAAATCTCAATAACGTTACCTCGTGGAGACTTCTAGTTTTATACATTTGATCCGTGCTGCTCTATAAAAGAGCTGAGAGTTGTTTTTGAGCAAGGTAAGAACAGCCGTTGCTTGAGAAAAAGCAAAAAACTTTCCTTTTTTACGAATTTTTCAAAACAAAAGTTTACTGTGATTTTTATAAAATTAAACTTTGGATGAAAAAAATTTTTAAAAAACTTTTAAAGAATGTTCGTTAAGCTTTAAACCTTCAAACATATGGTGAGCGCAGCTCAGCTAGTTCGTCAGGATTTATCCTTTCAAATTAATACTGAGCTAAGCTTGGTCTTTCCACAAGACTTTTGATGGTACGGTGCGAATATATCCGCATTGGGTTTCTACCCGATACACTAGTTTTGTTATTAAAAAAGTTATAGGAAAACAAAAATAAATTTTTGAATACATTGCAAACTTTATCACTTTAAATTACTTTGCTACACGAAATTTTGATGTAATTAGTCAACATGTAACATTTTTGCAAGATACATAAATGAGCTCATACAAAGGATACTCGACCCAATATATACATAAATATGTCGTCAGACAAAATAATGACCCTTAAATTTAAGTCTATCATAAGAAAAGAAAAGAATCATATGATCATAATGGATTAGTCATTAACACGCATCAAGAAAAAAAAAATCATCGAATATGATGTAGTTTAATAAAACTATACGATCTACATTTGAGCAGCATCTTATCTGCATTTTATACGATAAAAATCATCTGCATTATACCTTTTTTAAAGCAACAGCATTTCATCTGCATATTAGGGAAAATAAATTTCATCTGCACTTTAGCAGTACCATCTGCATCTTAGCAGTACTTTCT